ACATGTAACCACATATATCCTCCTACATTAACCCCACTAACAACTTGTTTTTTTTTTCTCTTACTTCATCAGCATAACTCTAGACCTTGTTTCTGCTTAAAGGTCTGAACCACCCAGCTGCAGCGTTACTCTCTATCATCTGGTCATCATGAAAGCCGTAAACATCTTCCTGCTCTGCTTCCTGGGAGCCGCTCTGCTGTCCGCAGTCCTTTGTGATAGTAAGGAAGATTAGAGTCAGATTTAGGAAAGAGCTGCTGTTTCTTCAAGCATTAAAATGATTTAATTCATGCGTTTTTGTTCTCAGATACGACTGGTCCTGATGGCTGCTGCTTCCAGTTCTATCCACGGCGAATAATGAAAGATTTCATTGGTTCATATTACTACACTGATCACCGCTGTCCCAAGGCTGCAGTCGTGTGAGTACTACAGACTTACAAACCTGTTAGGTTTTTAAACAACATCCATTATTTCTACTGTAATGTGGTCAATACTATTTAAAAGGGAAAGATCATTTTTTTTATATTTATAAATATTGTTTTTTGCTCTAGTTTGGTCACAAAAAAGAATGGCCGCAACATCTGCGTGGATCCAAATATGGTCTGGGTGGACAGAATTATGAGACATCTGGATGAAACGGACTTCAAGTGAAAATCTTGTTTTTCCTTTGCTTTTTATCCCATAAACTAGGAAAAAAAACATTTATAACTATAATGTTTCTTTCAACCAGCCATCTACTTTGCTGTGGTTCACTGGTTTCTTATAATCCACTGTCATGTTGAACTATATTCCCTTGTCTAAAAAACTCTTCTATGTTTTCTTCTTTTCTGGTATTTTATGAAATTATTTACCTTGTCTGTAAACTTTATATGAAATAAAATCCACATATATATCTGCTTCTGTTCTTAGAATTTATTTCAACGATGTTCAGACTTATTATCTTTCTTTTGTTCGATAAGATGAAAAAAAAATCAGAGGATGAGATAAAAATAAGAAAAGATAAAAAAAATATATGATAAAAAGATACAAGTGGATAATTTAAGACAAGATAAAAAAAAAGTCAATTAGATGTGATAGAATTTGATAGGATTTGATAATTTCAGATAAGATCAAATATAATTCTATATAATACAATACTTTATGGTAATATAAAATAGGATAATAAATGATAAGAAGATATGATACAATACATGGGTTTTGCAAGTTTCAAAAGGTTAATTTAATACTTTTAAAGATCTTGAGGTCAAAAAATTATCCACATGTATCATAATAAATACCTTAGTCATTTTTAACCCACTTGATTTGCTGCACTTATTCATGTTAATGATAAATCTTCTTCATGCTCCAGGGTTACTCGTGGAGTCCCACAGCGCAAACTCTCTTTACTATACATATGCTTAAACTTAGACAATTTCTATTGACATTTTGTATACTCAAAGTGTATACAAAATGCAATTGTCATTTTGTACAGCTCTCACACTGCAAAAAATTTTAATCTACATAAGAATTTTTTTCTTAAAATAACTGCATTTTTTCTTGAATTGAGGAGGTAAGTGAGACATTTTGCAAAATGGAGCGAGACAATTTACATTTAAAATAGGAAAAAATAAGAAAAAACAATTCCATATTGCATATTGTCTAATTATCTTATTCTAAGAGTAAAAATACTCATTCCATTGGCAAACCATCTCATTTACCAACTCAAACAAAGGGTAAATATGCTTAATTTAAGACATTTTTACTTATTTGTAGATCATTTTTCCAGTGCATGACATTTCCATTTTTTTAAAGTGCAGCAGTGATCAAATGTAAGCAGTGTGGGAGAAAAAAACATGGACGCTTTGATAAAAAAATGGCTTTGATATGCAAATTCAGAGGATTAAAATATTTATGGTGCAATTATGCAGAGTTTTGGTTTGATATCAGTTTGATGCAGAGTCTTTGACATGATTTAGAGTTTATTTGGCATTCAGCAGTCGAATGGCGATGGGGAAGAAACTGTTTTGGAATCTGCTTGACCTGCATCGAATGCTGCGAAGCCTCTTCCCAGAAGGCAGCAGGGAGAATATCATTGATAATGTTATGGGCTCGGGACACGCAGCGCTCTGATGAAATGTCTTCATCGGAGGGAAGAGGAGCCCCAATGATCTTCTCTGCTGTTTTCACCACACAGCTGCTTACAACTGGTAAAATAATCAGACAGCATGGGAAGGATTTCCACTTTTATGCTGATGATATTCAGCTATATTTGTCCATAAATCCTGAATCTTGTTAGACTGATAACTGGGATGTCTTATACAATTTTCTGCCATTTAATTCAGAAGTTATAATCCTTGGACTGGCCGATTAGTCACTTCCTCTCGATGTCACTAAATTGGGCTCTAGTAACAAAAGAAAAGGGGAAAAAAATAATAACCTGTTATTAAAATCCTTTCGGTAACTGTAACCAATCGGTCTGTAGGATCTGAGTGAAATGAATCTAAATAAGGGCCTTGAGATCAGGGGCGGATTTCGGAAATATTAAGGGCCCTGGGCAAAGACAGGCATGGGGCCCTCTGAATTGACAACACATAAAACAGACCCATTATCCGCATACATAATTTTATTAAATTAAATTTTATTATTTAT